CAAAGTGGCAGTCTATTCTCCAGTTTGCTTTTCAGTTTCTGATTCTGCAAATTAACTTTCAGCATCAGGCTGATGTCAATATTTGTACTCCACAATTATAGTGTGTTTGCTAAATCACATTGCTTTAATCCAAAAGGCATTCTGATTCCCATTTAGACCACGATCTCAGGGTGCTCAGCTTCCCTGTAAAAGAGCCGCATGCCCTCGGGTCTCATGGAGTCAATGCCATAAGAGATTGCTCAGCTCCCTTCAGAGCTGAGTCTCATTTCTTTAGGAAAACCATAATTAGAGGTTAGGAGCCAGGTTTATGCAATGTAGGTTGCAAACAAGCCATCCAATTCTCATTTACAAATCTCCTGTTAACTGTTTTAATAGTGGGAGATTTGAGGGTGAACCAGCACGTCTTGTTAAAGTAATGTGTCTTAATTTCCTGCCCTTTTTTTGCCTCACTGAGGTGTTCTCCAGCTCTCCAGCATCTAGGAGAAGAAACAGCTATCTAATCAGCTTCTCTGAAGGAAATGCCTCTTTAATGAATCCAAATCTCCAGCAGGACTCAAAATAGCAAGGCAGTAAAGTCAGAAGTGTTTATAGAAAGAAACTGCATTAAAACTGCTGGCATCGCGGGATCTTGGAAATGAAGACTGCTGACCTATCGAGATGCTGTACCAACCTCATCCCTCCCTCCTGCTATACACACTTGGCTGGCGCACATATTCATACCCCCATTCTAACCCCACAGACCATTGAAATCTTTTCTTGCCCTCCCCCTCCTGCACCACCTGACCCACAAGATTTCACACTGGAAAATTACAGAACAGAACTTCAAGACATCTTGGCTGGCATCTTGGTGTTCTGTGTTTATTTATGTGTTCTTCCATTCTCTTTAACTGTATCTGACATTATTCCTCACTTCTTCTGCATGCAAGACTTCCTTCAGACAAATGAATGAAGTAGAACTGACCAGCAGTGCCAATCTGATGCTGAGGAGACACGATTTATGCTACATGTAATCCACTTCGGCAGTACACAAACCTTAAACCCTGTTTAAGATTGCAGCAGTGCTTCATGTTGGAGTTTTTTAATGCAAACCACAGAGCTGATACATCTACTATGAGACCATCATCTTCTCCTCCTGCCTGTCCTTTTCCCTGTGGCATCCTCAGTGAGGACAGACACAAGGGGTGTCCATCTCTGCTCCAGGATGGCTGAGCTGGATGAGGTCCTCATTAGCAGGACTGAGGTGCTGTTCCTCCTCCTGATACCAACACTGCTGATGGTTTCATCATCGGCCCAATGAACTAAAGCAAAAGAATGCTTTAGACAGATCAAGAAAGCTCCAGCTGCTAAGGTTACCCAAAGGTGAAAGTTGACAGAAGCCCACAAGGACTCAGCATAGAGACATCCAGCAAACAAGATGTAATAAGACTGTCTCAGGGGAGCCGACACGATTAAGATTGTGGTGTCCAACCTTATCTCTGACAACACTCTGCCTCCCAGCTACAAATGTTCAAGTGTTTATAAAAATCTGACAGGGTAACTGCAAGAAATGTAATACAGCTCATCATGGGGGGAAAAGATGGTCGTGGAAATAGCTGAGAATTGTGTTGGCAAAACTATTAAGCCCAAAGGAGAAGGGACTATTTTAGTTACAAAGTCCTTTCTATGCTAATGATAATCCATGAACATTAGCATTCCGCACATTAGCTGGGTCAATTTAGGCCAGAAAAACTGTTTGGGTATGACAATAATTAACTATTAAATCCAAATAGTTCACTCATCCATTCCTGAAGCGCTCTACTGAAATCTCTCAGGAATGTAAGCCTGCAGGAGACAAGCTCAGGTCTGCTGAGCTCACCTGGCTGGAGACATGAGACCTTCATTCTTTCTTCCAGCAGAACAACACAGGAGGAAATTTTCTGAAGAAAATTAGTGCAAGTGTACAAAATAAAGAAGAGAGAAAAAAGAATCCAAGCATTGTCTCCTCTGGACAGCGATTTAAGTGATAATCGTATTCTGCGGCAATAAACCAACCAGATGTTTCAGATAATTAGTATTAAAGTTAGATTTTTATAGCAGCTGTTTTCTTTCTGCCAGACAAGCAATGTATCTGCTTCCTGGGCAAAGTCTTACGACAGGATGTGTAAGACGTGACTGTGATGTGTGATGGCACTTGCTAAACCATCCAGCTTGAATCATGGTAAGCATAGTAGCATGTGCAGCAGCTCACTTGGGTTGCCAGGTGCGCACTTGGTGGGTTATGTGTGTGTTCCCACAGCTTTGCTGCCTTTAGAACTCAACCTGGCATAGGCTGGCTCTTTCTCCAAAAGCTAAATGGCAAGACCAGCAAACTCCAAACCTTTGTTTTTGCAGGGAACTGTACAAATTCCACTGATGTAATTCTAAATCCTTAAGTGTTTTAAAAGACACTATTCTATTTTCACCTATTAAAAAGTCTGTTGGGTTATCTATCCTGCTTATAACACTATAGAGGCCATTTGGAGCAAAGCACATCTTAGAGAATCATAGAATATAACTACGTTAATAGAATTAATATCCAAATCTCTCAAGACCTTTCCAGACTTTGATGTGACTCAGGTGTGCCTGAGAAGTTGCAGCAAGGCAAAGTTCAGTATGGGAGGAAGATGTTGGCAGCTGATGAGCAAAGGGCAGCAGCTGATTGTGCCAGGTCTCTCATGTGTCTATCAAGCACTGGTTTGCAGTTCTGGGCTTGGGTAAAGGTTCACCAGCTCAGGTGGAGGTGGTTCAACATTAATTTTCACCATCGTGGTTATTGTAAATACCCCAATAAAGGAAGAGCAAAATGGAAATCTCTAGATAATGATAACATTTTGGAAGGAGGCACTCAAAAATTCCTTTATAATGTCAGTGCTTTTGATTTCCCAGTGTGACAGGTGATGATTAACTTCTGCTGGGAGGAATTAGGATGCTCCTGACTTCTATTTTCACGGGCATCTTCCTCAGTATTTAGGAGTTCAGAAGTCTAGAACATCTTTGAAAAGGAAATTTAGGATCCAAATCGTGTTTTGAAAAAGTTAGCCTCTGTTTCCACAGAAAACTGTTCCAAAGATCACTAACATCTCAGTACTATATGGTTCAGTGCTGCTTAGCTGAGAGTGAAACAGCACGAAAATGTGTGGCCGCAGCCCCCAGTCTACACCCAGAAATGAACTGGAAAAGTGCACCTGAAGAGCAAAGCAGATCAGGTTTTGCAGGTAGGCCAAGAAGGAATGCAATCTGTAATAGTAGAAGTGATGATTAGCAGTTTTTAAAAGAAGATATCTTCTTGAAATTAGAACTCGAGGTGAGGGTGACAACAAAGGCCATCATCAGAAAGGCACATGGCTGGGGACATGAAGCACTGGCCTGAGGGCAAAAGCTTGTTCGTGTGCTTGTGGTGCTTCCAGATGACATCTCCTGTTTTGTGCTGATATGGCCTCACCTTGAGCACTGTGCGCCACAAAAAGGACATAAAAGTTATTAAGGAGAATCTACAGAATGGATGTAGATGGTGAAAGATCTGCAGGGGAAGGTGTGTGAGGAGCAGCCGAGGTCCTTTGGTCCCCTCATACAGCCACCTCACAGAGGGGCAGAGCGGCAGCACTGATCTCCTCTCTGGTGACAGCCATAGGGCTCTAGGGAAAGGCATGGGGCTGTCGGGGCCGGGTCAGGTGGGAGTTAGGGAGAGGTTGTGCAGGAGTGGAACAGGCAGCCCAGAGCAGCAAGCACGGCTCAAAACTCCGGGAGTTCAAAGAGTGCATGGACACTGCTCTCATATGGAGCCTGTGGGTGTTGCTGTGTGGAGCCGAGAACTGGCCTCGAGATGATCCTTGTGAATCCCTTCCAGTTCGCGATGTTCTGTGATTCTGTTACCTTTCGTTTATTTATTTATTTCGAACGTGCAGTATTTATAGGTCCTCCCTTTGCCCTTTAGTCCGCGTGCAGGAGCTTCTCAACTGACGCAGCCAGGAGGGAACTGAGAGTAAAGCAGAACCCTGGGGCTGGGGCGGCTCTGGGGGGCTGCGGGACCGCGGCTGAGCGAAGGCTCTGGCTGCAGAGGAACGGACCGCGCGTATCCCGGGACGGGGCCGCCCCGCCTCCTGCGGAGCCTCCGCCAGCCCCGTGCTTTCCCCCGCCCCTATCGGCGGCGGGGCTCGCGGATCCGGCCTGCGCGGGGCTGGCGGAGCGAGGGAGCGCGGCACGGCGAGGGGAGGAGAGACGGCGGGAGGAGGAGGAGGAGGAGGCGGCGAGCTGGCCATGGCAGCAGCCCGCGGGCGGAGAGGCAGCAGCCGCGGGCTGCCGCTGTGAGCGGCACCCGGAGAGAGGAGGAAGAGGAGGAAGGCGCGGAGCAGCCGCGGGGCCGCCATCCCGCGGCGGTGCCCGGAGGAGGATGCCGGGGAAGCGGGGCTCGGCGGGCGGCGGAGAGCTGCCGGGGGCCGGCGCGGCGAGGCAGCGGAGGCGGCGGAGGAAGGTGTCCTGCTTCTCCAGCATCCAGCTCTTCCTGGTGTCCGAATGCGCGCTGATGCTGGCCCAGGGTACCGTGGGAGCCTACCTGGTGAGTGCTCCGCTACCCGCCGAGCCGCGCACCGGGGGAAGTTGCCGTGAGCGCGGGGCAGCTCGCCGGCCAGAGCCGTGGGGAAGCCCGACTGCTTATTTGTATGTGTATGAATGTGTGTGTGTGTGTGCGTCTGACTCCAGCCCGGCTTTTCCCGGCTTAAATGACTCAGCACTGTGAGGGGTTCCCCGCCCGCCGCCCCTCTCGCGTGTGCGGCCGCACCTCGAGCTCCTCCGGGCGCCCGCAGCCGGGGCGCGGGGATGGATGCGCTGTGCGGCGGTCCTGCTCCTTGTGCTGGGTGGACGCCGAGAAAACCTGCGAGGAGGAGACATTCAACATTCAGCTTCCCCTCCTCTCCCTCCTCTCCCTCCCCCTCTTCCTTTAATCCCTATGTTACTAATTTCCCCCATCCTCTTCAGGTGCAGCAGCCCCACGCATCTGCTCGGTAAACAAACGCAAGACTTTGCGCTGAGTCTTATTGCGGTCTGCTGTCAGAGCAGGACCGTAGGAAAGAGTTGAGAAGGTGTCCGTGAGGCTGAGCCCATGCCTCCGAGCACGCAAAGGACTGTGCTTCCAGCAGATGCAAGTGGAGAGTTGGATGAAATTTCTCAAAATAGCGTCCTGGATTTGAGAATTATAGTTTCCATGGAAAAGAAATGTAGTCGTAATCTTTAAGGCTTTTTGAGGCTATACACGTAATATATTATAAAGTGTAAGAGCTCTGCATTCTGTGCTTGCATTTGGTACTTAGCTCTGCTTCTCTCAGGCTCATCTAATTATGTAAATTTGTACTCAGTGTGATCTGTAATTTTTCAAGGTATGTGGCTAAAATGAATGTGGTTAATATTCGCTATTCATAAACATGGCATGGAAATTTGCAGTTATCTCTATATTACAAAGCACATCAGTTTAGTTTGGGATGTACCTGTAATTCCAAAGGAATTGTGTTAAGATAAATTCAGTAATTCTCTCTCATGTGAGCAGGACCTTAGTGTGCCAGTATGTTGTTACCACTGGACTCATTGCCAAGTGAGCTGTCAGCCTGAATGAACCAGGGATAATCCTTAGTCCAACTGATGGCCAAGGAGTGACCCGTGGAGGTGATGTCACCCAGCGGGCACCAGGATGCTGGAAATATGTATATGTGTGTATGGACACACCGTGCTGGTGTGTGAATACCTGCTGTGCAGGAACAGCAGATCAGTCTTGAACGCGGCGTTTTCCCCAAACTTCTTTGCATTGCACTCTGTTTGCAGCCCTGCAGTTCTTGTTCTGTTTCTCCCATCTCTCAGGCTGTGCTTTGCACTGAAGTTGTGCACTTGCTGCATGTTGGAACATTTTGGAAAACATGCTGCCAGAGCCTCGGCTCCTTCCTCTGATGGTTAACTGCCCAGGTGCTGCTGTCCTCAGGCAGTGAAGTGCATCCTCACCAAGCTGACATTGTGCCCTGATGCCAGCCAGGCAACTGGTCAGTGGGAGAAATAAAAAAGGAGCTCCAAACAGTTCCTAGCATCCGTAAGCAGCGGCCCAGCTGCACTGTGCAAGTGTTCCTCAGTTCCCTGTATAATTCATCATCCGTCATTGCAAATACCACGCAGTTCTCAGTACAGTGAACAGATGCAAATGTGGAATTATCTTTGGAGGGTGAATTGGGGTGAGTGCTGCACTTACTGGGGGAGCAGAAGCAGGATGGGAGCAATGCATAGTGAAGGCTTGGGGGACCTAATCACTTCTGCAGACCTATGAGGCCAGGTGCTGCTCGCAGGTGCTGTCTCAGGACCAAGCACAGCTGAACACTGTGGAGTTGCTCAGGAGCAAATTAATTCACTGCTGGGCTTGGCGTGGCTGCTCCCCGAGGGACAAATTAACAGGTGAGACCAACGGGAGAGCAACCAGAAAGACAAATAGGGAGACGCTGGGGAGGCACTTATGGTGTGTAGTTCTGGGCAGTTGGATAAGCTACTAATTTTAGCTTGTCAGTTGTGACTGAGCACCACGTTCATATTGTGCTTGGCCCCATGAGTAGCTTTCCCTGGTTATTGTGTTCCCTGGTTATTCAACTCAGGAAGAGAAACCTTTCTCTTTTTGCCTTGTATGGCGACAAGTGGATTTCCTCACTTCTATCTGCCTGGCTTTGCATGGGGAGACCATGGGGACAACACCTCTGTGTGGTAAGGAAATGAGATGGGCTTGGCTGGTTAGGAGTGGTCGGAAAGCTCAGTTTTGACTTTGCCTTTTTGTGTCGGTAGATGTAAAAAGGAGTGCTGTTACTTCTTAATCTTTTTGGAGATATAGAAACTTTTTTTTTCCCCTTGTTTTCCCTGCACAGTGAACTAGCGGTGCCTGCTTGAGTGTATGTGCAAAGTATACATTCATTATGTGGTTTTGAAGCAGAGATCGTTCACTTTTATTTGTTCATAAAACATCGTGCTTGCCAACAGGGCTTTATAAATAATAAATGCTGATAAAAATCTATACAGTCCAATTCTTTTTCCCACAGAACTCTGCAGTGAAAATACCGCAGGATGCCAATAGTGGTGGCCTATGTTTAATTAGTGTGGTGTCTCTGAGGTTCTTCCTGTGAAGTTTTAGGGAATATTTGATCAAGATCACGTTCCAGAATGTATTGCTCTTGCTGCCTGCAAAATGCACGTGTTCCAAACTGACTGGGTGCCGTACCCTGCTTATGTAAATGCACGCCTGTGCTTCTGCCTTAACTTCTAGGGTTGTTGAATATACCCTGTTATTTCCATATTCCTGTAAGGTTTTGAGTGTGCATTTGCTTGGCTTTATTTCATTACTCCTGCTTGCTTTTGGAAACTTGCATTTCCCAGCAGCTGCAGCGGTGCTGGGCAAAGCGTTGCTTGTAGGCTGCAGGCATTCCTGCTGCAGAAGTTACTTAGGGTTTAGCAGCAACTTCTGAAAGCCTGGATGATTTCCAGCCCCTGGGTTGCTCTCTGGGAGCTGAGGTCTGCGGATGGAAGAACTGTGTGTTAGCTGGTGCAGATGGCACGAGGAGAGAGAGATGGGAACGCGCATTCTGCAGCCCTGTGCCTTTCAGGCAGTGCAGCAGCGTGCCGGCTGTGCAGCCGTGGGGCTTTTCATCATGCTGATTCGCATACCTCGGCAGCAGCTCCCCCTCCACTCCTTAAATTCCTGCAAGTGTTATATTTTGGAGTATTTTAATTGGTACCGATGCTTCCCGTGCTCCTGATGGTTTGTCGTCGGGGTGTTTTGTCGCCCTGCCTGTCAAAGGCTTCTGCCCCGGCCAGTGGTGAAATCACACTGTAGCAAAAGGTGAAGGGCTCTCGGTTTGCCAGCCACAGTTTGTGGAGCAGGAGAGCAATTTAATTTTCTCTCCCTCTGTCCTTTAGCCTCAGATCGCTCTGGTTTGAACTGACCTAGATGCGAGCACCCAACATCTGCCAAAGTCACAGGCTTCTTTAGATGGAGGGCATGCATATGGGAAGTGCATTGGGAAGCAGTCCCTTGGTGTGCTCTGGATATGGCTGTTCTTACAGAGCTCTACTGAGATGTCTCTGTTTGCTGCAGCTCTGAATGTAGCTATTCACGTGTTATATCGAGTGGTAGGGGATGACTGGCCTGAACAGGAGATGGAAAGGAAAATAATTAGTCTTTCCTCAGGAGGGTGCATTGGTGTTTGCGTGAGAATGAATGCCAAATTGTTTCTTGTTTTCCTGAATGAAAACTTTGGAGCTGTGCTTAACTTTGTGGCAAGAGCTTTGCCTGTGCTGCAGCGCTCGGCTACAGCTTGCAAAAGCCATCCCAATGTATCTGCAGTAAAAGCAGTACTGTGTAAGTCCAGGTGAGATTGTGGGTACTGATGTGGTGTGTCACGCTATGGAAACATGGAATATTTGGAGTTGGAAGGGACCCTATGGATCATGGAGCCCAACTGCTGGCTCTGCACAGGACCGCGCAAAAATCAGACCATTAAGGGACGTGCTCCTTCTTTTGGGTCTTTATTACTATTATTAATGAAGACTTTGAAATACCAAATTGAGGAAGAAGTAGGATGAAAGATAAAAACAGACATCAATCATTGAAGGGCTCGTGCTGGAACAGACACAAATAATGTCCTGTGAGATGGAGCTAAGAGCGCTATTTGGAGCTGGGGTTTTAAAGTCATTTTGGTGTGCAGCTCCTCCTCCCCATGTTAAATGTGGCAAATACAGCACTGTTCTCTTCTGAGGTCCAAGTGCTGTAGTGACCCTGTCCAACTGGCTTTGAGGTCAATGGCAGTGTCCACGTGGAGGATGCCATTAAGGCTTGCTTATCACAGCAGCACTGCGGTGCTGGAAGGCTCCCTCTTGTGCATGCTGCTGTGCAATGGTACCCAGGGAATGCCTTTGTCCCTGAGTGCCTGCAGGCTGGATGGCCTGGGTGAGGGTGTTCTGCAGGTGTGGGGGATGAAGCTGGGATTAAGTGTGATTCCGTATTCTGTTGCTGAAGGTATCAAGCAAACTTTTGCTCGGTTGAGAGCAGCAGAGTCCAAGTGGCTTCAGCCCTGACACAGCAAGGAATTCTAGTTTTGGGTCCTTCACCCCAGTGGCTTAACTGCAAGAGCTTTTTTTCCCCACTGTACGTACTGATTTATTGTTTTTTATTCAAGTATTTATTTTCCTAGAATAAGAATCTGCTTTAAAATATCACGGTACTTTTTTTTTTTCCTTTCTGTTCTCAGCAGTGCTGAGTAATAAATTAGCTGTAATGCTCATAATTTATTTGTCACTGGGGCATTTAAGGGGGGGGGAAAACACGGAGAGAAAATGAATGTTTTAACGGGGATGAAGATTGCCAAGCATTGGCTGGTTATTGCTTACAGTTCATTTTTCCTTAATACATCTTTGCTGGCTATGTTATTTCTGGAAAGTTGTTTCTAGTGTGCGTTTCCCATTAGGGAATATTGTCTGTTTTGCAGCTGAGTTGCACAGAAAGTTATTCTGAACCGGCTCTGCTGAGTGCATTCATAGTCGTCTCGGAAGCCTGCTGGTGTTCGTAGGGTCTGTGACTGCAGGGTAGAGGAGAAAGGTGCTCAGCTCTGGGTGCTCAGCTCTGGGTGCTCAGCTCTGGGTGCTCAGCTCTGGGTGCTCAGCTCTGGGTGCTCAGCTCTGGGTGCTCAGCTCTGGGTGCTCAGCTCTGGGTTCTGGTGCCTGCAGGCTCCTCTGTACTTCGGGTCGTTGTTGGCTCATTAACATGAAAACTTCATGCAAATGAGTAGAAACAAATTGTGTTCCATTCTCCAGGTTGGATTTTGAGTACCAAGGAAGGTTTGTGAGTAGCTGACACTTACACTTTGGTTTAAAGCTTTAATCTACCTTCTGCTAATAGATGAAATGGGGATAGCTACATGTTTATCTCATGATATACGCTCTGTGCCATTTGCAGTGTAAATACGAACATAAAATCCAATGGCTTCTTGATTAAATGTGTTTAAAAGGAAAACACGTGACAAGTGAGAGTGCAGACCAATTGCTTTTAATGTTTAATTTTTTTAATGGTTTTTAGCAGAAAAGTTTGGCAACTCTTCCAAATATATATATATATATATATATATATATATATATATATATAAAAAATTATATATATATATAATTTTTTTTTTCTGAGCAACACTTGTGCAACACTTGTGAGCCCTGACATAAATAGCAGTCTGTTAGAAATGTTATGATCCATTGTAAAAAATCAAAAAACACAACCACGTCTCATTTCTTTTAGCTATCCTTGGCCCCCTAGAAATGTTTTGCAATGGCTGTGTGCCTGTATGATGAACAGGCCTGTGAGTTTTTATGTCCTTTGGTGTTAATGCAGCTGAGGTTTGAAGGGATCATGAATTAGGTGAGAGAACTCAGTGATGTGGAGGTCTGGGTTGTTTGTGCATAGTAACGTTATGCAGTGCGACTCTTGAAATTGTAGCATAGCACCCATCTCAGGGTCAGCTGAGCTGTGATCCTTCTCTGCTAGGTAAGCAGATATTCCTTGTTCCTCAGAAAGGAGCATTTCTCAAGTTGCATGAACTTTCTTTTCCCTTACTTTCAGGCTACTGTAAAAGTTCAAGACCCAGCTTCTGTTTATACCACTACAGCAGTATAAGTTTATTGCTTCCAAAGAGTTATTCTGCAATTCATCAAGAAGAATTTGTCCTCTGTGTATAATGAGCTAAAATGTTTCTTTATTTGTACACTCCTTGGTCTCTGGCTGTTCTTTCGCAGTAGCGATGGATAACACTACTTACAAGGTGAGGTTGCAGCTTGGATGAATTAGGCTCGCTTTGTCTTCTGATTAACTCCAGATGATTCGGCAAAGTGGTGCATTTGAAGCATCGTCTGAGGAAGTTTAAATAACCAGGCGATAATACTTTGTGTAGAAGTGTTCCCGTGAAGTGCAGAAGAAATCATTTTTTCCTGTTGTGTACGAAAATGGGCCACAGATTTTGATTTACCAGGTTTCACTTTATCTGCAGTGAAATCACAACTAGAACCCTGAGAGTCCCATCTCTGGGTCACCATGTTGCAACTTTTAGACTATCTGATTCTTTCAATGCTATTTCTTGCAAATGGCATTGCCTGCTCTACAAGAAAGATTTCACACTTTGTACAGTATCACTGTAATGAATAGTGATAGCAAACTGTTGATGGAGTTCCTGCAGCATCTGGCACTTCTTTCTGTTGGTGCAGGGAGGGCTCTGCCCAGTCAGGGAAGCGTTCTGTAAAGGCTCAGAGAGATGGTCCCTACATCTGAGATATTTCAGTTTGAGCAGACAGGCACAAGCATGGAGAAATGCTCTGGGAAATATGGATTGAGTTTTGGGTAGACCTGCGTGGAGCCAGGAGTTGGATCGATGGTCCTTGTGGGTCCCTTCCAGCTGAGGATATTCTATGATTCCTTGATCCCTTTTTGCCAGGTTTCAAGTGAGAATGCACGTAGAGATGAAAACCGATCAAGCAAACATGACTAGAATTGCCCCTTCCCACCGAGCAAAAATAGGGAAGATACCAGAGCTGAAATTAGACTCCTTAAGCTCTCCAGTTAGCATCTTTCTCTTCCAGCCTTATTCTGGATGTGATGCGCTTCTGCGTTTTGATACTGAAACATTCCTTATTGAATGGAGGGAGACAATCCCTCTCTTTCCACTGCGCTGTGCCCGTCG